CAATTCCAGGGGTCCACCACCATGCCTAGTTCATGCTTTTCCAACACCGAATCATTGCCTGAAACAGGCGCTCTAATTCACGTGGTGTGTAGGATGTGTCCAACGCTGCTCTAAATGACATGCGTTTTATCCTTAGACTCCTTTGGGCAGACACTGTGACTGTCCTGTGTCACTGAGAAGTTCCTGAGGCCCGGAGAGCTTCGTCGAGGCCTCTGCAGATGGAGCCCCGCACACCCAGCCCTGGGGTCAACCTCACCTCGGTGCTGGAGTTCGTGCTCCTGGGGGTCACATTCACGTGGTGTGTAGGATGTGTCCAACGCTGCTCTAAATGACATGCGATTTATCCTTAGACTCCTTTGGGCAGACACTGTGACTGTCCTGTGTCACTGAGAAGTTCCTGAGGCCCGGAGAGCTTCGTCGAGGCCTCTGCAGATGGAGCCCCGCACACCCAGCCCTGGGGTCAACCTCACCTCGGTGCTGGAGTTCGTGCTCCTGGGGGTCACCAACAGGCGGGACCTACAGCTCCTGCTGTTCGCCGTGCTCCTGGTCACCTACCTGCTGACCCTGCTGGGCAACCTGACCATCATCACCCTGACCTTGGCGGACCGCCGCCTCCACACCCCGATGTATTACTTCCTGCGCCACTTCTCGCTGCTGGAGGTGGGCTTCACGTCCACCGTGTCACCGCAGATGCTCACCCACCTGCTCACCGCCCGCAGGACCATCTCCCGCAACTGCTGCTTCGCACAGATGATGCTCTACTTCACCTTGGGCGCCGTCGAGACCCTGCTGCTGGCGGTGATGTCCACCGACCGCTTTCTGGCCATCTGCCGGCCCCTGCGCTACCCGGCTCTCATGACGCCCCACGTCTGCAGCGCCCTGGTGCTGGCCTGCTGGCTCGCCAGCCTCCTGGTCCTGCCAGGGCTGTTCGCTTGGATGCTGTCGCTCCCGTTCTGTGGCCCGCACGTCCTCAATCACTTCTTCTGCGACAGCTCCCCTTTGCTGGAGCTGGTGTGCGCCGACACCAGGCGTCTGCAGCTGGTGGCCTTCCTGGTGGCCGTGTGCACACTTCTGGTGGCCACGCTGGTCACCGCCATGTCCTACGCCTGTATCATCATCAGCATCGTGCGCCTGCCTGCGGCTGGGGGCCGCGGCAAGGCCTTCTCCACCTGCTCCGCACACCTGCTGGTGGTGTCCCTGTCCTACGGGAGCTGCATCTTCATGTACCTCAACCCCACGCAGACTGGCCGGGTGGACGCGAACAAAGGAGTGGCTTTCTTCAACACCACCGTGTCCCCCCTCCTGAACCCCTTCATCTACTGCCTCCGGAACCAGCTGGTCCACAAAGTGGGCAGGGATTTGTTACTCAGGGGGAGAGAGATTTCTTCCAAGGTATCCAGATTGTAAGGTTTGCAAACTACAGTTAGTGGCTTGCTCCTGTATTAATAATCTATGTATTTTGGTGTGACTTGAATATAGGGCCATATTCATTGCTAGGCTCCTGTTCTAGCACTCAGCTGCATCCAGAGCTGTCTTTCAGCTTCTTATTTTATTTTTTCTCTCTTTTTTTTTCTATAATTTATTTAGAATTTCATACTTTTGCACTTAGGGTGTTCTGATCAAATCCATGCCCACTGCCGCCCGCCAACTCCTCCTGTAGCTCCCTATCACTTTTTCCTGACAACTTCATGTACTCTTTCTTCTTCTTTTATTTTTTCATGGCTTTTTGGCTTCTCTAACAGCTTTTATGGCTTTTTGGCTACTCTAACAGCCTTGCTTCTGAAGAGGTAACCCTAAAATCTTTTCAGGATTAGATAAAAACTCCCAAATACTTTTGACATATTTGGCCTTTGGAACAGAGTATGTTGCTAAGAAGCCCAAGGACATTGTGAGTTTTAGCAAGAAACTGGCTACATTTCTTTGGGGCCTTTTTACCCTAACTGCCTAGCCAATTCCTACCTCCTATTCTTATCACATCATCCTCTGAAGAGGTTACCCAAATTGCCGATAGGGAATTGAGATGCAGACTGCTCTGGCTTCTTCCATGCTGAACAGGGATGCAGGGTGAGGCAACTGGGGAACCCCTTCAGTGGGTCTATCTGAAAGACTCCCAAATTGTGTAACCCTTACCACCATGTGGAGGCAGGATCTGGCTACCCTCAGGCAGTACTCTGAGTTCGCAGCCCCTATGCCAGAGGGAGGCCAGAACCCAGGCTCTCTGGCTATCTGCTGAGATCTCAGCTACTATAATGATGGAGGTCAGAGCCCAACCCTCAGGCTATCTGCCTCGACTTCTTATTTTATTTTTATTTTTATTTATTTTTTCTTTTTTTATGTGTATGAATTTATTGCCTGCATGTATGGGAGAGCGCCCATGTCGTGCAATGCTGCAGAGGTCAGAAGAGGGCTTCGGATTCCCCTGGAACTGGAGTTAAGGACAGTTCGTAGCTGCCATGTGGGCGCTGGGAATCAAACCCAGGTTGTCTGCAAGAGCAGTCAGCACTCTTAACTGCTAAGCCATCTCTCCAGCCCCGACTTCTTATTTTAATGTACTGTCTTTAACTTGCTGAAGCTGACCTTGAACTCATCCTGTAGACAAGGCAGCCCTTGGCATTTCTACCCTCTTCCAATCTCCTGAGCCGCCAGGATTAGCATTTTCACCAGGCCTGGCTGGTTATGTAAAAATGGAGGCATTTGGGGCTCCAAAGGTGGCTCAGCAGTTAAGGGTATTTGCTGTTCTTCCAGAGGACCAGGGTTTGGTTCCCAGTACCCACACAGGCTAATACCTGCCCTTAACTCCAGTTCCAAGGGATCTGATGCCCTCTTCTGGCCTTTCAAGGACACCTGGCTGCAAAGCCACCATGCTCAGGTGTGGTGCATTTACATACACGCAAGCAGAATACTCATGCACTTAAAATAAAAATAAAAAGTAAGGCCTGGTGGCACGTTTAGTCCCAGCACTCAGGAAGCAGAGGCAAATGGATCTCTGAGTTCAAGGCCAGTCTGGTCTACATAGCAAGTTCCAGACCAGCTGGGGCTATAGGAGACCCTGTCTCAAAAAGATAAATAAATAAATAAATAAATAAATAAATAAATAAATTTAATGGAAGCCTTTTAATTTGAGTAGGGGAGGCAAGAACAAAGTGAAACATTTCAACTAATTAAAAAAAATTTTAATTTATTTTATGTATATGAGTGCTCTGTCTGCATGTATGTAAATGCACCCATGTTGTGGAACGTCCAGAGAGGACAGAAGAGGGCGTTGGATTCCATGGAACTGGAGATATGGATGGTTGTTAGAGCCCATGTGGGTGCTGGGATTTGAACTCGGGTCCTCTGCAAGAACAGCCAGTGCTCTTAACTGCTGAGTCATTTCTCCATCCCCAGTCCAACTTATTTTAAGGCTGATGGTGCCAGGCATGGTGTTACATGCCTGTCACCCCCGAACTCTGGAGGCTGAGTCAAGAGGATTACTCAACAGTTGTAGATCAGTGTGGGCTACAGAATGATAAACTTTCTGGAAAAATAAATAAATAAAAGAACAATGGTGAAATAAAGGTATTTCAAATAAATAACGAGAATTTGATGCTTTTAGACATACATCCATTCGAAAGAAATGGAGCAGCGACTCAGATTTTCAGGAAGGAGTAAGGGGCTCTCAGTCCAGGCTGTTTCCTTTCACAGTTATACTTACTTGTACTTAGTTTTACTATTCCCACCTCACCCACACAGGGTCTCACTATGTAGCACCAGCTGACCTGGAACTCATAATGTAGACCAGGCTGGCTTCAAAGTCACAGAGATCTGCCTGTCTCTGCCTCCTGAGTGCTGGGATGAAAAGTGTGTGCCACCACACCACCCATTTTTTAACATTTTAAAAATACTTTTTGTGTGTGTGTGTGTGTGTCTATGTATGCATGCCTGTGTGTATGTGTATTACATGCATGTCCACAGGAGGCAGAAGAGGGTGTTGGATCCCCTGGAACTGGAGTTACAGGTGTTGTGAGCCACCACATGGGTGCCAGGAACTGAAACTGGGTCTTCTACAAGAACAGCAAGTGCTCTTAACCCTGAGACATCTCTCCAGCTCCCATTTTTACTTTAAATATATTTAATTTCTCTTAGATTCTATTCCACATATGGAATATTATCAAATTACTTAGAAAAAATAGGAATCAATTTATAATTACTTTAAAATAGTCTTTCAATATTACGTGTTAAAAAATCACTTTTTCTCTATAGATAGTTTTCATGAAGTATTTGAAGGGTTACCGCATCCTCCCATGTGCTAGGCAAGAACTTTCCAACTGAGATACATCCTCCAGCTGCCTTTACACTTTTAAAATTTTAGATATTTTAGGAGCTGGAGAGATGATTCAGTGGTTAAGTGCACTCACTCTCGCTGCTCTGGCAGATAACCTGGGTTCAGTTCCCAGCACCCATGTGGCAGCTAACGACCATAGGTAACTCCAGTTCCAGAGGATCTGCTGCCCTCTTTTGGCCTCTGGGGCACTGTACACATGTGGTACACTACATATATGCAGGCAAAACATTCACATATACAAAAATAATTCTCCCTGTAGCCCCAGCTGGCCTGGAATTCATTATGTAGACTAGGCTGGCCTCCATTTCACAGAGATCCACCTGCCTCTGCTTCCTGATTGTGGGCTTAAAGGCATGCACCACTATGGCTGGCCCCCAATAAAATATTTTTAAAAAATATTTGAAAGCCAAAAAATAAAACTGAAAACAAGCAAACAAAATAAAGCAGAGAGATGGAGGAGGGCACCCAGTGTCCACATCTGGTGTCCACATACAGAGCATAAGTACGCACACATACCCACAGACATGTAGACACACAGACACACACACAGATGCACACAAACCCATGCACAGACACACACAGAGACACACAGAGACACAGACATACACACAGACACAGACACACACACACACACACACAGATACACAGACACAGAAACACACAGAGACACAGACACACCACACACAGATACCTTATAGACATTGGCACCACACATGCCCATATACATACAGACACACAGATACCACACACACCCCACATAGACACATCACATACAGATACCTCATATAGACATACCACACACACACAGACACACCATACATACACCACATACATGCACGTCACACAGATACCACAGACACACAGGCCGCACAGACACACTATACATACCCCACAGACACACCACATACAGAGACACCACACATAGACACCACATAGACATAGTCATCACACAGACATACACATATAGACACACCATACACAGATACCACACAGACATGCAGAGATACCACTAAGACATACACACACACCCTACACAGACACCACACACTCCCACACAGACACACAGACACAGACCTCCCCACACACAGATATACCACACACACACATCACACATACAGAGACATACTTCACACACAGGCCCAGCAGACACTCCTCCACATATACCACACAGACATTGAAACACATGTGTACAAAACAAATAAATGATAGTATCGTTTGAATATGTAACTGATACAACAACATAAATAACTTTTTCTTTTAAATATTTTTTGGATTCCTAGGGCTGGAGAGATTGCTCAGTGGTTAAGAGCACTGACTGCTTTTGTTGAGGACCCAGGTGTGGTTTCCAGCACCCACATGGCAGCTCACAACTGTCTGTAACTCCAGTTCTAGGGGAAGTGATGCCCTCTTCTGGCCTCCACAGGCACTGCATGTATGGGTGCACTTACATACATGTGGAAACAAACATACACATGAAATAAAAATAATTTTTTCTAATTCCTTGACCATGTCATACATGTATATAGAAAATTTTGGTCATTTTCACCACCAACCCATTATCTTCTCTTATTCTCCTCCCATTCCCTTTGGACCCCTTCTTCCACCTAGGTACCCCTCCCATTTTCATGACTTAAAAAAATATTTTATTTAACTTTATATGTATATGTGTGGTGTATATGCACCACATGCTTACAATACCTGTGAAGGCCTGAAGAGGGTATCTGAATCCTTGGAACTGGAGTTATGGACCATTGTGAGCTGCCATGTGGGTGCTGGGAACCACACCTGGGTCCTCTAGAAGAGCATTCTGTGCTCTTAACCCCTGAGCCATCTCTCCAGCCCCCCTTTTCTGACTTAAAAAAATTTATGGCCCTTTGTGTGTAATTAAGGCAGCCTGCATGAGTGTGGTTGGGGCTAGACCACTAAAGAAAATGCCTGAAACTCACAGAGATCCACCTGCCTCTGCCTCCTGAGCACTGAGATTAAAGGCAGGCACCACCACTCTGACTTTTTTTTTTTCCATTTTTTTGAGATCAGGTGTTACTATGTAGCTCTGGTAGGCCTGGGACTCACTTGAAGACCA